CCCCTGCTCCCTCAACACCCTGCACGTCGGAGGTCAGCAGCGCCCGGGCTCGGGGGGAGGACAGAGCTTTAATCACACCGGCCACGATGCTGTGGTGCTGCTCTGGGTGCGACAGACATTCCTCTGTGTTAATAACATCTGCTTTCAGCAGATCCAAATAAGAAACAGGCACCAGCAGTTCTTTTTTTTTTGAAAGCCTCGTTAACTTTGCTTGAAGCTTCATTATATTTATCTCAAAACCAGAGCAGCAAATACAACGTTACATAATTTAAAATATATTTTCAAAGTACAGTATTTTCTGTATTTTGAAAATTAATCCCCAGGGGAACTAACAGGCACTGCATGTTTGAAATTATTGTTCCACCATTTAACCTGAGCAGCGCAGAAGTCTGCAGCCCCTTTGTAGCATTTACAATAACAAGCTTGTTTCCTGGGGCATTTATCACTTGATACAATGCTCTTCGTGAAATACACACGCAGCTCTGAAACATTTGGTTGTGTAGAGTGTTAGATGCTGTTCTTGTGACTTCCACAGGTACCATAAGAACATGTCAGAAATTCCTGATTCAGTATAACAGAACACAGCTGCTGAGGTTGTTGCAAAACTGTACAAATGAAGGTGAGTTTCTTCAGCCACTTTCCTAAAAATGTAGCCTCAGTTCCTGGGGTTTTTGTAGGATATGCTGGGCTACTTCTGAATTCTTGGCCTGAGAAATGTTTGTCTTTAGAAGTGGAGCACAGTCCAGTGTATGTGAAGAGATCAAGTATTTAACCCTCTGTTGCTTTCTTTATTGCAGAGGAAAGACAGTGCATACAGAAGTCCTTGTTGAGCTGTTCCCTTACAGAAGAGCAGTCAGAAAGTGGAGATGAGGAGGATGATGATGGCACAGAGACAGACTGAATGTCACTTATTACTGTTCACCTCTATTCTGTACTTGTTTACTCAAGATGTGACTGATTATCTTCAGTGTTAAGCAGTGCAGGGGACTGGAAAAGCATTTATTCATATTTAGAGTTCATTCCCCCTTCCAAATGTTTTTAAATTTAAAAAAAATAAAACATTATTTCACTTAAGTAGGTTATTTGCCTGTTTCACTCCAGGAGTCAAAACCACTTGCACTCCTCAGGAGTGCAGCAGCTCAATGTGTTCTTCATACTGAGGTAGAAGGGAGCTTTAGGCAGTTGGCACAGACAAGGAATGTAGTTATTCTCCATCAGCATACAAAAAGCATTAACATCTGCTTTTTACTTTAAGTGCACTGTTAGCCACAGGGCTGTCACTGTTTTGAGTGAGAAAAGCATCAGTTGTGTACACAGGAGCAGTGAGTTCATGGAATGTATGGCAGAGTGCAAGGCTCAACTCCATCCCCCCATTACAAAACTCATAGGTACAAGTACTGCTTAGATATTTATTAAGTTTACACCAATCAGTTACAGGAAAGTAGCATTGCTGGTATTATCTCGAATCCGTAGGAAAACAAGATACAATTGAAGATGCTGTCCCTGTGGGGACAGCCCTGCAGCAGGGACAGCCTGCCTTGCCCACATCACTTCCCTTAGCCTAGTGCCTGTGACATGTGGAGGTGAGTTACACCAGCTCCAGCTATTCTCTCTTCCCAATGCAAAGAAAAGTTGACTATAAATGTGCAGAGATAACAGAACACAACAGATACTGGTTAGACACTTAAGTTTTGTTACTCCTGTTCCTTAGCTTAAGATGACTTGCTGTAACCACAGTTCGCTGCATATTTGAATCTCTTAGTTGCTTTCTCTGCCCTCATCAACTGTTTTCCCATATGCATTTAAAGTGTTGACAGAAGATGTGTTACACTGTCAGGTATCCTGTGTGAGTTTCTTTGCAGTCCCCTGACAAGCTGTACTGTCTTTCATTGAGTGGGGTTAGTTGTGACCAAGCGTGAAGCCAAGCTGCTTTCAAAGAAGGTCTTGCGGGTGTTTCCTCTATCCTCCTGCAGCAGTTGCAAGTATTCCTTACCTCCCCCTCTCCTGTTCTTTCTGGCTGACAGCCACATGTGATGGACTCTTTGGTACCAGCTTCCCACGAGGCACACGTGTGGAGCCTGCTGCTCTGAAATCAAGCACCCATGCACTGACAGCAGCTTTTTGAACAGGGACACAGCCACTGAGTGCCAGTGGTGCTGGAATACCTGACTCCAGGTGCCTCAGACACACATTTCCTGCTCAGATCAGTGTCAGAGGGACAGAGCACACTGAAGCCTGTGCCACTGAGGCTGAAGACAGCAAAAGACACTGTCAGTCTCCCTAAGTTCAGTGGCACTTTCACCAGCACCCTGCAATTAATTCTGCCAGCAGGAAGGTAAAATGTGACCCTGTGCAATGTTCCAGGGCTCCAGGCTGCTGTGACAGTTCAGCTGCAGCACTGTGAGCGTGTGTGTGTTTGATTTATTGCAACTGTTGGCCTTGACTGGTACTTGACACCTAAAATTCATTTTATTCAACAAAATCCACACCACTTAACTCAGTAGCTCAAATCAAACCACAAGCAGTGCAGAATGGGACCACCCAAAGAAAGAGCAGGGAGGGGTCCAGAGGAGACATGTTCATAGCACAGATCAACTTAAATCCCAGAACCAAGCACATCCAGGCCCTTAGCCCAGTACAAGAGAACCCCAGTTTCTTGCTGGGCTCTAAAAGTTATCTACAAACTTCAGCTATCAGTTGTTCTTCCAACTCAAGAGCAGCCAGTGCCAAACCATCATTCAGAGGGTTACCAGGAGCCCTTGAGGGGAGTGTTCATTCTAGATGACCAGGTTAAAAATGAGTAGCCCATGGTTGGCAAAAAACAAACAAGAAGTAGCAGCCTCACTCACCCACATTAAAACAGACCTGAACAACTGAGAGAAGTCAGGAGGTTCCTTCTACCACTAGTGCCATTTTGAAGTACAAATTCATCAAGCCACTTTAAAACCAAGTAGCCAAGATCTGCTTTACACTCACCTCAGCTTTTTATCTTTCCAAGCCAGGAGAACAGGAGGAATTCTTGCTCTTTAGAAAAAGAACAGATATAGCAGCTAACACTCTAAAGCCAATAAGCTGTTTTGCCTGTATCCAGTGCAGCCAAAACCAGTTTCTCAAGAGAGCAGTTTGACAGCTTTACTGCAACAGCACTACTGTCAGTCAGCTGGACTTCTGCCCATGAATAATTACAGGAAAATAAAGGTTCTCTGCCTTTTCTCTTGGGTAATATTGCAGTACTTTGGCAGTGCCACACACCTGTAAGGACTTTCACACTGCTTATCAGGCCCAAAGGACTGACTCAGCAACTAGAAGCCTTGGCAGATTTGTCTCTGGGTTGTTACTTCCAAAACTCTGTTTCAGTACAAATTCGTTAAGCAGTTGGAATCAAAACATGTTATTCAACATATACTATCATGGTTTCCTCCTGAAGCCCCTAGAAGTCCTGGAAAAACAAGTTTAGGCTGTTCAAATTTAAATACTTAAACTATAGCAGCAAAACAAAGCAAAATTAAAAGAAAACCAGGAGAGGAAACTTCTCTTAATAGCAGAATCACTTTGTGTGAACAACAGAGGTGCTGAACAATAGCTTCTGCTTCTGTTTCTTTCTTTTCTTGCCTCCCTTTTCCTCTGTGAAGAATTAAAACAATACTGTCATTCTTCTCATGGAACAGGAACATCACACAGATATTATAAATGGTCTTCCCTGGCTTCTACAGATCCACAACACTTCCTATCAATTTACTGAACACCAGGTAATTTAGCAAAAAAATTACTGCAGATGAACTAAGGGAGACGCCATCACATCTGAACACAATTATAAACATGCCTTAATGATTGTAAAGTTGCTGTTGCAACAGCAGATCCTGGGACTGCAGTGTGCAGCATTTGCCTTTCCAACAAGTATCACTTGGTTATGTGTCCAAAAAAGCCACAAGTGGAGCAGACACTCCACTGAAACTCCCAGGCCCTCCCATCCAACTGTCTCCATCCAGTGCAGTCTCCAAACAGAAGCCAAAGCTAAAACACCAGAACTGAGCATTAAAAGCAAGTTTTACCAGCCAGCATTAGGTTTAAGTTCATCTCAATTTGTTTCACATTCCCGAATTTGAAATTTCAGCTAGCAGTTAACTGGACATTTTGGTCAAACTGAAGTGGTAGCTCAGCAGCTCAGGTATTTCAGTTTAGAAATTTATAAGCTGAACCTCCTTAAGATAAAGCAAAATTTAGGTTCCACTAGAGACATGGCCAACATGATTGTAAAAAGCCATCTTTGTCCTAAAAGGATTCTTTGCTAGTTGGAGATCTCAGCTCCCACTAAGAGCTTGAAGCTGACAAGAAGCCCTGGTCAAGCTGTTCAGAAACCACAACCTAACAATTTTCAGAACTGCTCTCTGGCCAATTTTTGGTCCCCAAAATTGCTGCTTTCGCTTCTCCCAGAGGAAGAAGGGGAAATACTCAATTTTTTCACTTCAAAAAGCTTTCCTGCCCTTCCCCCTGCCTTTTACCTGATAAATGATCAGCTGTGGACGGTTTGTCCAGTTTCAGGAGGGCTGCCTCAATAGCTTGGCTGAAGGAATTCTGGAAGCTGGGCACAGGTATCCGGTCAGAGCTGTCACTTTCTCCATCACTCTCTCCAGGCACAGGCAGTGCCAGAGTGTTCTCATCTGAAAGAGGGAAGGAGTGCAAAAGGCTGTATAAAACTTCCACCACACAAATGCCCCTCCACACTCCAGATCCTTCTTTTGAAGTTACAAGATTTCTCAGATTTAGGTGCATGGTAAAGAACCTGAAGTACTAATACCAAATTTTCTTACCTCTTGTCTTTGGAGCAGGTTTAGGCCACGTCTCTGGTTTTGCCTTTCCAACTCTCAGCATCTATCAATACAGATGTAGGATATGATTAAACTCCACATTCCAATCCTGCAGACCCCCTAAGTGGCAAGAAAATCTAGAAACCCCTTCAAGCACTCAGACCTTCTGATATCTCCCCTAAGATTTATCCCACATTGTTTTTGTAGAGGAAGCAATTGTAGTCTCAGCCTAACCCCCAACTAAGAGGTAATTCTGACAAGATTCACTCTGCTACATGGTTTACCTGGGCAAAGGAAGGGAAGGGAGATTCTTCTTCCAAGCTTCCACAGAGCAATGGGCTGACCTGGCTGGCAGCAGGTGACAGTGGAGTTGGAATAGACTCTGCAGAGAAAGGAACTGAGAATTAAAGCCAGGTACACCTAGCCAAGGCAGTCATTATGCTGCTTATCAGGATGTAACAGAAATAAAGTTTTTATATCCTATGTAATTACTCATTTTGATCTCATTGGTTCTATCCATCAGTCACGCAGTGGGATCTCTCAAATTTCCTCAATCTTTTTATTTAAGGAAAATTTAAGTTTGCTTGTGGTTTTCTTTTGGGTTTTTTGGAAAGCTGGACAGGGGGAGGGTTTGTTGAGTTTATTTTAGAATAATGTGTTGAGAAGATGGAGATGACAAAAAGAAAAAATGCCAATAGTGTTTTCCTGGCAAACACAATTTTCGTCCCTTTTTGGAGCAATTGTTCCCTTTCTTCTGCCTCATGTAAAAAATGGGGTAACTACAGTGCAGATCTCATATTGTCAAGGTAGAGGCAGCAAAAAGCAGACAAAGGAAGAGAATGTTTCTTAACCATGTCTGCTTTTTGTGTATTAACTCACAGGCAGTTTAGGAAAGAATCAGAATCATAGAATGGCTTGGGGTGGAAAAGACATTAAGACCATCTCAATCCACCCCCTGCCACGGGCAGGCACACCTTTCACTACACCAGATTGCTCCAACCCCATCCAGCTTCACCTTGAACACTTTCAGGGATGGAGCAGCTGAGCTGCTCTGAAAAGAAGCTGTCTTTGATCAATATTGAGAAAATTTAGCATGATGACCTGAGCAACAGATCCCAAAAGAAGGATCAAGAGCTAGATGTGATGTGTTTTTCCAGATGCTCACCTGTCTGAGACACAGGGCTTCTGCCAAGAGGAGTCTGACAGAAGCCCTGATGATCGACGCTGGTAGTTTCTCCAGGGCAAGAGGTAAAAGCAGGGAACTGC